TGACCAATTTTTTTTTTTTTTTTTTGGAAACAGAGTTTTGCTCTTGTCGCCCAGGCTGGAGTGCAGTGGTATAATCTTGGCTCATTGCAAACTCCGCTTCCCAGTTTCAGGTGATTCTCCTGCCTCAGCCGCCCGAGTAACTGGGATTACAGGCACTCACCACCAAGCCTGGCTAATTTTTGTATTTTTTAGTAGACAAGGAGTTTCACCATGTTGGCCAGGCTGGTCTTGAACTCCCAACCTCAGGTTATCCACCCGCTTCGGCCTCCCAAAGTGCTGGGATTACAGGCATGAGCCATCATGCCCGCAACAAATAAAAATACATTAAAAATATATAAATATATATAATATATAATATATTTATATACTTTTTTCCCTGTTCTTTTGTTTTGTTTTTACTTCCCATACTATACAGATGTAATTACCTGAAATACAGCTGGGTAGACCTGTGTTTCTAAAGGGATCAATCAAAAGTCCTCAAGGCTAGGATTAACCTTGGGCTGAGGACTAAAGAAACAGCCTTTACAAAATTATGACAGTAAGAGAAAACTACTATAGTTCACTCCATCTTGCTTCTACCTCCAAGCTGTCCTCGGTCATTCCTGGGCATAGTCCAAGGTAACTTTGGGAGGACGTTAGCTTATAATCTAACCTTAAGCAAGAATGATAATAATCCTTCCCAAAATAAACCACCTTTGTAAAACCAAAAACAGTCCACAAGGTTAGGATTGTGAGAAGGGCCTGAATTCTGCTAAGAGGTAGGCATAAAGGATAACCAGTTATTGCTCTGGGGGTCACAAGATTTGTGACTTCTTGAGCCACTCCTGTAAATAACATCACTATTCTACAATAGTAGAACGTAAGATTGTTTTTGAGGGTTTTTTTTTTTTTTTTTTGTTAGGCTTTTGCATTTTTTGCTGGGGGAAGAAAAGATTTACCTATTGGTCAGACACTAATAAGGCATCAAATAGGAACGTGGTGGCCATGCCTGTAATCCAGCTACTTCCAGGAGGCAGAGGCAAGGAGAATTGCTTGAACCTGGGAAAGGCAAGGTTGGCATGAGCCAAGATCAGCGCATTGCACCTCCAGCCTGGCGCAGAGTGAGACTCCATCTCCAAAAACAAAAAAAAAAAAATGGAACGCCGTTATCTTATTTCTTTCAAACAGTTAAACTATAAAGCTAATCCTCCCTTTCCAAAGTTAGTTTGGCTCTATGGCCCGGGAATGAGCAGTGAACAGTTTGGAGGTTGAGAAGGCAATATGCGAATCCAGTTCGGTCCGCTCTCTTTCACTAATCAGTCAGATTATCAGTCTCAGTTAATAAGTGTTTGCAAAGGCAGTTTCAGCAGCAAGGCCCTAGTCTCAAAAATACAAAACAAGAAAGTCTTAATTGGCTGGGTGCGTGGCTCACACTGCTAATCCCAGCACACTTGGAATCAAAGCCGGTAAATAGCCTGAGGTCAGGATTCGCTGACCAGCGTTGGCCAACATAATGAAACCCTTCTCACAAAAATGACAAAAATTAGCGGCACAGTGCCATGCGCCTAGAGTGCCTAGCTACTGGGAGGCCGAAGGCAAGGAGAACCACTTGAACCCAGGAGGACGGGAGGGTTGCAGTGAGCATAGATCGCACACCATGCCACTCCAGCCCTAAGCGACCAGAGTGAGACTCTGTCTTTCAAAAAAACTAAAAAAAAAAAAAAAAAAAAAGGGTTTAATTGACCAAGGCCGAGCCGCAATGGGAACACAGATTATTACTCAAAAATCAGTCTTCTACAAGGCTTGAAGGATTAGGGTTTTTCAAGGAATATGGTTTGGTTTGGGCAGGACTAGG